AGGCCCTGATATACAGGAAATATAGCAAAATACGTGCCTTTTTATACCCGGTTTTATACTCCATCTGCTGTTAAAAATACAAATGCAAATGTTGAGAAAGCGTTGTGGCTTTTTGAAAATGTTTTTGTATTGTTTGTTACATAAAAATCATTTTATAATTACGTGTGCGTTCGGTAAGGCTTTGGGATATTATATTTATATTTTTCGTGATATCGATACGTTTCTCTGTAGGCGTCACCTAATATTATTTTGCCATTTCCCCGATTCCCGATCAGGATAAACGAATAAATTAATTCACCAAAAGCTTGGGGGATCGTATTCAAAAAGGGTTTAAATCGTTAAAAACCCTTCATTACATTAAAACCGTGTACATAATACGTGTTAAATAAAACATGAGTATGTGTTCCACCCATTATGTGTTAAGGCTTATTTTTTTAATTAGTTACTGCTTTTGTTGAATCGTAAAATGACCTATTTTACTAAGTAATTCTTACAATGGCTTCGTTGGTACTAAAGCTTACGCAGGATGTATGTACAATATAAAAACTTACATACACGGCTACTTTTATTTAAATACAATGTTTTATGGTAAGTATATACTTTACGATAACAACTAATGTTGAAATACTATACAAAAGCTTTAGTGAAACGATATTAATAGTCCTTTTCATTTCAGCAGTTAAGTATAAATTATGTTTTAAAACTGATAAATGGAAAAGTTAGGCATCACCCACTACATTTAGGGCCTAAATCAAAATAGAACCAATTACCAAATACTACTAAACTGGAGCTAAGTGTATAACATGTTACTTTATAACTGTGGCCGTATTAACAAGTTCTCGTCGATTTAAGTAGGCTTACAACAGGTGGTTTGTAAGTTTAGCGTTTGTTTTTACCCTTGCCAGGGATATTTGGGTATTGTTTGTTATACAACCTTGTAATTAGTTGATTGAACGTTGTAATTGATATGTAATCTACATAGTTATATAATAAAAGAAATTGACAGTTTTGTATAAACACTCATCGAGTTTCAATTGGACTACGTGACATATGTATATAATGTATTGGACACAGGTATGTAGATTTGTTTAAGAAAGAGAGCGCTACACTTTTCATCTAGGATTATGTACTCATACCTATAATAATATAGTTGTTAGCACGTTCAAAAATACTTTCACGTTCACATAGATGCCAACACTACTGAATCGAACCGAGCTTATTTGAATCCCACACGGAATCGAATCCAGATCTACTTACAACTAGTTACGTATCAATTACCGTAATTAGTCGAATCATTGTTTGCATAGTACCTACAGTTAAAGTAACTCTTTATAAACTACGTTTAAAAAAACCGACTTCCATCTTCCTTTTTTTAAGCCGCTAAATTAATATACTAAAACCTTCGCGGAGGACTTAACCAGTTGCCAGGGCTCCGGTTTAAAGGGAAGGAGTAGGAACGGGGTGGTTTTTAGTCAGTAAGAGTCTGACACTCCCGCCTCATCCAGGCGGGAAAAGACATTTGATGATTTTCCCCCCTTAAAAAAGTGTAACAAACATTTTTCTGTAAACCGTACCAAAATCAGTTCAGTCATTTAACATCGGTTAACATGTACCCATATTATAGCATAGTTCGAATAGTTATTAGCAAAAACTAGATCGAATTTCAGAATTGTAATGACTATTGACAAATCAATTACATACTGTCTAAATTGATTGACAACATAATACGTACCATACCTAAATATTATATCTGTTTGACGATTGTCATGTCAGTTACGGATTGAGTAATTTACAATAAGTTAGCTACAATAAGTTAATCCAAGATTATAGTGTGAGCGTAATCTATACTAATATTATAAAACTGAAAAATTTGTTCGAACGCGCTAATCTATGGAAAAACTGATTCGAATTGATTATTTGAGTGTTGGATAGTCCAATTATCGAGGAAAAAGGCAAACATTACGGCGATAAGAAACCGAGTAGCTGGTGAAACCTCGCAATATTGGAGGAGTAAAGCTTTTGGTAACTTAATCCCGGTAAAGCGGACAAAGCCACAAGTGAGGTACTAGTTTCATATATTTTTCAAACATAAATAATCTGATTTTAAAAGTTTGTTTCTAGGTCATGTGACAGCTTGTAATTAGGCACATGTTTTACTAAAATGTAATTAAAAATATTAACATTTTGGGTCCACGTTGTTTTGTTTCAGTAATTTGTTTCAGGGTCTCATCTGTTCTAGATTCCGTTTATTGTCAGCCTGAAGCTTTATCACAATTACAAGGCTAGTGATATTAAAGTATTATCATGCTAATTTTTAATCTGGATTTACATGATTTTCCTTTTGCTTTAGATATTTGTGTCACTATATGTATAGTATTTTATATTGTTTGCCTTGTTCGTTTTATGATCATAAACTAGTAGTTTTATAGTTATCAGTAAAACCAAGATTAAAACTTATTACAGATCTCGTTTTTTCTATTTATTTATTAAAGCTTCATGCACAAAGTGTACATAAGGTGGACCTTAATGCCGCAGGCATTTTATCCCAGTCTGGCCGTTGGGTGATGCAGAGAAGAATTATTGGTGGGAGCAAGAAGCAAGCAACGATTTAATTGAGCAAATAGGAGTTACACTTACATATTTCAGTGATAAACATAATTATAATATATATACCTACATATAAGTACAATAAAATATACATACATACATACAACATAATACATAAAAATGATTCTATTCCCGATTTAATAGGACATTTTCCCGGTTTTTAATGTTGATATGTTTAAGTACTGTATGTTTATTCATCCGTGATTACGCTTGCAATAGTGCTGAAGTATCGGAAACTCATCAAAACTAGAGACATGGCAAATATACCGTTATAAGTTCTACTGAACGTTAGAAATAATCAACTGGAACTATTGAATTGAAGTTCAACACCCGGATTGTAATATATTACTGCTACAAATATGTATAAGTATAATTAGCTAAACAAGCCACAAAAATAAGATAATCAAATAATATTTAGTTATCAAATTGAAAAGGGTAATATAGCAATATCGAATTAAAAGACATTATCCCTTTTTTCCTTAATTATTTATCTAATAATCTGCCTCGTTGGCCAAGTGGTCGCAAGTGCGACTGGGTAAGGAGTCTCGGGTTCGATTCCCGGGTCAGGTTTTAAAAAAATTCTTAGTGGTAACACGGAGTCTGGAATTGTGCGCGGTATATGACAATAGGCTCACCCCTTATTACATGCGACTAATAAAACATAAATAGTGAAAAGTGGGTGTTACATTGTACAGTGGCATTAAGTGCCGTTATGTGCACCTCCGCCTAACCCTTCAAGTATAAAAGGCGTGATATTATGTTATGTTATTTATCTATTAGACCAAAAATTGGCTCCCTAAAGGTCACAATAACTCGAGTACACGTGTGATAAATAGGACCTTAATTTAACTTTCGAACGCGTTTAAAGTTGCGATTTCTATGGTCGTATTTATAAAAGAAGAAATAACTACCTATATTGATAGGAGTTTAGTCCTTAAGTAAGTGCATTTGAATATCCTAAAACTTTTATCAATATTGAATGGTTGTGTCGTAAAATATTTTATGCGCTCGACAAGTAATGATGCACCCTAACTTTATATAGCTGGGTTCAGTGGCTACTTTTATAGGTATCTTCTTGCACTATTCTGTATTTATTTAAACCGTCGTGTCTCGAAACGCGGATCCACATGAGACACAATATAATTTTATATTAAGTCTCATATACAAGCATTCAAGCGGTTAAGAATAGAGTCAGATTCTTTGGGTAGGTACTATTAAAATATTTTCAAAAAATAGTTAAGTAATCGAGTTTACTAAATAATTGCATCCGTAATTAGTATTGACATAATAAGCCAATAAACATAATAATTTATTTAGTATGTCTCACGAAAGTTATAACATAAATATAGTATTGACATTTGACATGATTGAAAATTCGTAAAAAACCTTTATATCATCAACAGCCCGCTACAGCACACTGCATGACTATGAACCTCCCGGCCACCCCCCAAATAAGAGGTTTCACCGTAATCTCCGCGCTTGGCAGGCGAATTAGAGATTGTAGATTAAAAAGTTTAAGTTTATCAGTGAGCGCTTGCTGATCAAAAATAAAACTATTGTAAATCGCGTTGTAATTTTTATCCTTAACAACTTAATTTCAATAATTCTCATTATTATATTACTGTGGCAAAAGTTTAAAATATAACAGTTATAACGCCTTTTGGCCCTTAATATCTGTAAAACGCGTGGAAATTTCCGTGCAACGAAACATTCATGACATTATAATAATATCATCATCATCGTCAACAGCAGAAAGACGTCCACTGTTGGAGAAAGGCCTGCAATAGGCTCGTGGAGGACTAAGGGGACATTATATAACTTAACATATTTTTTAAACAATCACATATATTATCTAGTAGTAATTATAAGATGTAATAACATTGGAACCTAATTATTTAGTAATGTAGATCACATGAAAATACTTCAAAAGGTTCTTTACCATAAGTTTAATTTCCGTGGAAAACCCTAAATTATTATAAATTTAATCGTACTTACCAAACTGCTCCAATCTTAATATTAACACACGTAAACCAAAAGTTTTAAATACGTAATTATTTAACACAGACGACATCAAAAATAATACATAATTAACAACATGAACCGCTGCTAGCAAAATGAAAAGAAAAATTAAAGAAAACTTTTCCTTGTTGGCGCAATTTTTGAAATTAGAAAACATGTTTCTTAAAAAAATCCAGCCAGTTCTCACCCTTGTTGTTCTTGTTTATTTTTAATGAAGTAAAAAAAGTTTATGCAACAAAAAAGGTTTGGTTTAAAATTAAAATAATGAATGAAAGAAACGTTATTATTTACGAATGATAAATGATAAATTTGGCAGATAAATAATTTTGAATGAAAATAAAAATAAAGTTAGAATAATAACTTGTTGAACTAACCGGCCAGCAGCAAGGCAAGCACAGCGGTCGTGCAGGCTGCGTACGGTTTCATCGTTGCTTTCCGAATGCCGAATGCCGAGTGGTGTTTGCGGGCCCGCCTTATAACTTTAAGGCTGTACCGCCCTCGGTGATGTAGCACGTAACTATGCTACGATATCGCACGTAAAACGTGACGTAGGTGTCACAGATGAGCCCTTTTTTGTGAACATGAGCTCATTTGAATTGAAGCTTTAGATCTTAATTTCGCGGTAGGATAAACAAAAAGGGAAAGGGCGCTCAACGGTATTTAATGTATCGGACACAATAGATAATTAATTATTCGTCCCACATGGTTGATAGAAAATTATTAATAAATAATTTTAATAAGGATTTCAAGTTTGTTGATTTAATTTGAACGGAATTAAAATTTTCAAATATAAATTATAATCTATGTAGGTACAAAAAATACTTACGACAAAATTTTTATTCTAATGTATATCTTTCATTATTACTGTAATTGCTTCAAGGCTGTGAAATGGAACCAATTATAAATTAAGAATTTTTAGATCTCGCCCTTGTACAAAGATAAAGATGGCAGCTCATGAAGGTACTCTTTATACATAAAATATTATCGAACGATTTTCAAAGTTATTGCGTTGTTTTAAATCTGAAAATTCAATAAAGATAAATAAGTAAGGGAGAGAACATTATCTTTCCTCTTGAAATATAGATTTGGTTTTCGGTATTTATTTATATATGTATTATAATTGTATTATATTAATTTTTTTATTGTTTATTATTGTTATTTCTATTGGTTTCTTCGGTCTTATTACTTTTTTTTTATTAATTGATTTTTATCTTGTTTGTGTAACACACTATGTGTCTCAGTGTTGTTATTTCTTTTCCTGCCACAGGCCCACAGGAAGAAATTCCAGTTGGAATATGTGGGGCCTATGTACTCTGTTTTTTATTATGTATTGTCCTCTGTGTTGAATATGTGTACATAAATAAATAAGTGTTAAGAGTAGGTCGTTTACATTTTTTCTCTAAAATAGGACAAACCTTTGTCTTTTGAATATGTTATTTCGTAACAAACACTTCGATTTCTTTCTTTATGGATATGTAGAGTTGGTATTAGGGGCATAACATAGCTATATTGTTAGTAATTCTCGGATATATTTTGTCGTCATAAGTTTGGGAACATAGTCACAAGGGTGGACTTTGAACTCGTGTTTATTTCTGATACGTGTACGTACTTAGGTATTACCTTAATTAAAGAGTAAACGGAACTGATAACTAATATAAAATAGCTTCAGGTTTAATCTTTGTGTCCAGCTAACATTTTTGAGTTTGCTTGTTGCAATATTCTAAAATCTAAATGATGTTCTTTTTATGTGACCGTCTAGTAAAGGGTCTTCTTGGATCATAATTGTGTACTTGCCAACTAGTCAAGTTCAATATTTTTTTTATTAAAATGTAAAAAACGCCAGTTTTCTGTGAATTTTGTACGAGATTGTGTATTATGACGTCACGATTTTTTAGCGCAAAACAGCATACTTATTTGTTAAAAATGTCCTGGAAGAATCCTAAAATTAAGTTGGTCATAAAATCAATTAATGAAAGTGTGATTATTTTTTTATATTTTATTGTATTGAACAGTCGAAATAATTTATTTTTGATTAAGTACCCAATTGTTGGTGGTAACACCAAAAACTGAAAAACCCAACCACTAATTATTGGGTTTTTCAGATTTTACATAAATTCAGTGTCAAACTAAAAGGTACAACGGGATATCAATTAATTTTAATCCCAACTTAGATTTCATAAAACTAGCGGAAAATAAACGTCAAATACGAACCAACATCATATAATATGACGTGAGAATGACCAATGGGATATAATTAGCTTTATTACATACACACAGTACTTACCTTTATATTATTATTATACATAATAGGTATACAGTAGTAGTTTATGTCTATGTAATTGTAAGTTATTAACAATTATAACATAGGGAAACAGTTACAGAAACAATTAGTTATAATACTACAATTTTGCTAACGGTAAAAGTCCATAAAATTATCCTTATTTACAATTAATCATAGTTACAGGAGATATATAAAACAATTGTTAGGATAATAGGTTAGGCGTTTCCTCTTGTTTCTATCTTATGCCATGCAGCTTTTAATCATTAACGATTAATATTAAAAGTGATCTTATTCATGAGATAATCTAAATATAACTAATTTGGAAAATTGATTACAACCGAAAGTTTTCAAAGATTATCTCAAAATGAATTCAGCTGTTTAGTAGCATAATGGTGACATAAATTCAGTGATTTTAATTAAGGGACTGATTTGTATTATTGATATCGAGTTATGTAAAGCCAATTTCCTTATAGTAGCTGTTTTAGTGCTGCAAATAACAACAAGCAACCGATTTAAAGTGCTAAAGGTATTTGTGTGAATTGTGTAGTTTGAAGAATGTTATACACCTACAAATAATTTTAACATTAGTAATAAATGGAAGGTCATTCAATATGATTTTTGTACCTAATACAAAAATAAATATTACATGCATTATTAGTTAGAAGATTTTTCATATAAGAAAAAATCCAGGTTAATTCCGACGCCATGTTTATAGAAACTGTTTGTGAAAAAAATTCGTACGTAAGTACTTCTAATAAAACTCAGAATTGTGAATTGTTTACACATTAACCTATTTATTATACCCACGTAATCACATAAATTCCATAGTAATTAGTTGAAGCAGACAGGAGTCATAGAGCCTATTTAACCCATTCACTGAAACAGTAACAACCCTTTCGTAAGAATTCAATTCATTAAAAAATTACAAAAGTTGACGCAACAATTTACGCGCTAAAACACGCCCAGTGTTGCCGCGTAGAAAACAAAACGCAACGACCTTTATTTATGAGTAATAATAGTCATTTGTCACATCTCTAATATATTACGCGCATCGATATCGAGTTTAATCGAAATGCAATATCCCCTCTATGATCAAAGAAAAATTGTTATTGGCTACATTTTTCTGATGATTCAATACTTTGATTTTAATTTAGATTTGTTGGGTGGCTGTGGTTTAATTTGCGTTACAAAATATCTTTGTAATATTACAAGAAGGATACAATTTAGTACCCATTTGTTGCATATAAAAAAGTATACGTGTTTGCGTAGATTACGTACTAAATCTAATAAGTGTTAATAGAAAACATTCTGTTAGGTATATACAGTTAAAAAAAGCTAAGGTCATCGTGAGAGAACTTGGTGATAACTTTTATTCTCTTCTGATAAATTACTTATCTGATAAGTGTGGGATAGCCATGCTTCGGCACGAATGGGCCGGCTCGACCGGAGTGATACCACGGCCTCACAGAAAACCGACGTGAAGCAACGCTTGTGTTGTGTTTCGTTGTGTGAGTGAGGTTATCGGAGGCCCAATTACCCTCCCCTTCCCCAATCTCCCAATCCGTGAATCCCCAACGATCCTCAAACTCCTAATCCCCAAAAGGCCGGTAACGCACTTTTCACGCCACTGGTGTTCCAGGTGTCCATGGGCGACGCCGATTGCTTACCATCAGGTGATCCGTCTGCTCGTTTACCGGCTTATGCCATAAAAAAAAACTTCCTTTCAAAAAAAGGTACAAACAAAGGTACGGGTGAATTGAGAAACCTCCTCTGATTTTGAAGTAGATTATTAAAAGTACACGACATTATGAATTTACTTGCAATTAAATTACTTTATATAGGCATATTTTCAATCAAATCTGTCTCAAATCACACATGTAAATGAACAACACAAACTAAAGCCTAAACTTGTTGCTGGAACTCGAAACAGGTAGGAACAACGTACTCACTCTGAATAGAGTTAGACAGTTAGTTGCAAACCCCAAACGGTTCAGTTAGCTGTTGTAGATAGACGAACTTTGGAAGCAGATCGCACCCGTAACGTATGTGGTCACGTTATTAAATAAAGTTTTACTTATAGACTCGCTAGTTATTAGGTACTAGGAACATAAAGATTAACTTTATAAAGTTAATTTTGAAAGCGTGGGTTTTATTTGATATTGACTATCGTGCATATTATTTACCAGCCGATGAACGAGCAAGAGGTCGTGGGTTCGATTCGCTGTAACAGTAAAAGCTTGGAGTCTAGAAAATGGTGCCCAGTATATGGCAATAAACTTACCTCATTTCAAGAGACTTGTAAGTCGAAACATAACTAATGAAAACTAATATTTGAAATATGCACCTCTCAACACACACACACACACACAGTCACACACACACACAGATATGAAGTGATAGCTATATATATATATACCTATATAAAAGACCTGTGTGTGTCTTACCCCTATTAATTTCCAAAAAAATAAGCAGAAGACTTATTAAAACTTGTTCTCGGATCTAACTGCATTGTTTACATAATAAGCACTTCTGTCAATACACACAGTCCAACCAACAAATCCTTTATTTATATATCACAGCTATTATAAAAAAAATAAAAATAAGTTTATTAAACTCAAAAACTTCCAAAAGATGTAACAGTAGTCTAATTATTATACAATTATGGTAAATTATAAATACTAAAAAAATATAAAAAACCACTTACATTGAAATAATCAAAGATAAAGTTAGGATGAGTACAATTAGGTATTTTTTTTAAACTTTAGCGTCTCATATTATAAATAATGCTGATATTTTCGCCATCCCACATAGGACACGAGTCTGACTCAAACTTAGGATAGCTAATTGTATTTCTCAACTTGTTCTAGTCTAGTGGGAAATAAAGTAAGTGGTACAGGACACAGGTAGGCTGGGAATGGTCGGTCAATGTAAGTCTAGACATTTGTGGCATTTTATCTAGAATGACTAAGTACTGTAGTTATATGTTACACACATATAATGATGTAATGACTGCCTTGTTGGCCCAGTGGTCGCAAGTGCGAATGTCGGGCAAGGGGTTCCGGGTGTGACAAAATATTATTGGGTTTTTAAAAATTCTCAGTAGTAGCACTCAGTAGTAGCAGTTTGGAATTGGGCCCGGTATACG